AGTCCATTTATCACCTGTTCGAAGTCCATTGCGTCAGGATAACATCGGATAGGCGTGTGTTAATCAAATTTTGTGGCTCTCGCTCATAAAAAATTCATTTTGATCTTCGACATCTCAGACTGGTTAGCGGCTTGCTAAAAACTGAGTCATATTGGGACCTTGAGTAGCTCATCTTCATTTCCATGCTGTCATCTGTGTAGGACCCATCTTGTTAAAGTTAGGGCCCAATACTGTCCCTTGTTCTCGACGTTGATTTGGCATAGGAGAAGAAATAACTTTGGGTTTCTTTCGATTTCATTTATGGCTTTTAGTTCTTCCCGCGATTTCCTGACTCCTATAAAGATTCCTTTAGCTGTAAGTTTCGAGCTTGCTATTTCTCTGACCAGTGTCTCCCTACGCATTTCAGATATATTGACCTCTTTTAGCCGCTCTTTTTATCTTTTCCGTCGCCTGTAAGGGAGCGCCTGTCTCTTTCTATTTTACATCTAATCCTCGTTTTTCTTAGGGAATAAGCCGTGTGCATACATCGAGTGCCACGAAGTTAAATCTGTTCTAGGCATAAGTGGGGTCTGTGTTGCTTATATATCTTCCCAGCTTATATCGGTTAGGACTTTGGTTTACTTGGTCCCCACTTATTTATTGTTTTATTGAAGTTGAATTTGTGAAATGCTCCCTCGGACTAGTCCCATTATGTCGGGTCTGGGCCTCCACGCATACATGTCTGAAACCTCATTATGTTGTGGATCTGAGTATATAGTTTTTTTGATATGGTGACATTTTCTTATCAGAATCATCATGTTAGTGAAATGAGGTGTATGTAACTCACCAGTCTAGTAGGCTCTATTATTTGCTGGTTTAAATTGAATTTGTGCAGAGATTTATAAAGCTCAGTGTGAGTGTGAGTTATTCAATCAGAGCTGCCTCTGGTGTTATTACCTGCAACAATATTATTTGCTATATTCCTCCCTTTTAGGTGCCTAAGTTAAATCCCGCCAGGAGCAAGATGTTGGGTGCAGAGCTGGAAGATTTCCAGACAGTGGTCAATTTTTTAAGCAGCTTGTTCCTGGAATTGCTGGGATGTTGCATCCGGAGGCTTGTAGACTACCACAATGACTAGGTTTTTTGGTCTCGACCTTTACTGCCTTAAACTTCACTACATCATTTGAGGCATTAAGTCAGTTCCTGTGCCACCAGTGACCCTGCAATGTACAGGCCGACCCCCCCCCGTTTGCCTGTTCACTCTGTCACATCTGTATAGGTTTATCCTGGGATCCATATTTCCGTTGTCCAAGTGATCCCCCCTTATGTTTGGGTCTCAGTGGAAAGCCGGATATTGCCTTTGCCTCTGCACGCAGTCCACGGATAAAGGTATTTTGTTGTTTGTTGCTGGCGTTAGACCCTGTATATTCGCAAGAAGAATGGTCCCATCGGACTGGGGTATTGTTGGTAACTGGGGGGGGATTTATTTTTCCGGCTTAGTATCTGTGATCTGATTGGTTTGTGAGTGGGAGGCCATCGACAGTGGTTCCACTCCAAGAAGTGACTGTATTTTGGGTGTACGATTTACTGCCATTCCTGCCAGTTGTTTTTTCCTCCTGGCACTAAAAAACTCTCCCCTTGAGTGGCTGTGACTATACGCCAGTTTTCCCATAGGCCTGGATGTTTTTGGTATCTTTTTTGTCCCTTTAGATGTGTGCCTGGCAATTTAAGTTATAGCACAGTCCTTTCCTGTACTGGATGTAAAAAGTATTCTAGAACTTTAAAAGATTTATCAGTTACATTCTTGGGTATTTTAAATCCTTACCTATGTCATAAATTTTGGATATTTCCTCATCTATGAACTCAGAAACTACAATTCATTAAGCATCTCAAAAACATTGAATGCGAAAACAGACAGTTGACTCGATCTTGATGCGAGGGAAATAATAGTGGGACATAGGAACAGTTATTTGTAGGTTTTCCTGTAAATTTTAAATTTTGAATTCATTATTACCCTTAATAATTAAAACATCTATAAAAGGCAATGAGTTATTTTCTTCAAACTCAACAGTAAAGATATACACCTTTTCCTTGGAAAATTAAATACTTAGCCCATTCTATAAACTTTACTGTTGAGTTTGAAGAAAATAGCTCATTGCCTTTTCTAGATGTTTTTAATTATTAAGGGTAATAATGAATTCAAATTTTAAATTTACAGAAACCTACAAATAATGTTCCTAATGCCACTATTATTCCTCGCATCAAGATAGATGACAAACTGTCTGTTTTCTCATCAATGTTTTTGAGAGCTTTACGAATTTGTAGTCCTGATTCATAGAATGAGGAAATATCCAAAATTTATGAAATAGGTAATGAATTTAAAATACCCAAGAAATGTAATTGATAAATCTTTTAAAGTTGCTAAAATACTTTTTACAATCCAAAAAGGTGACAACCAGCCTTAGTTCACTAAAAATATGTTGCTTCTCCTTACCATGAAAACTTGGTTGATATGCCAACCTTCTAAAGACTTTTAATATTAAGGTTGTATTCAAAAATCTTGATACAGTAAAAAAAAACTTTAGATAAAGAATTCCGGGACGTCTCGCCCCAAAATGCTGATGGATGTGTCCCTATAAGATTCCTTGTAAAATTTGCGTAAGTTTATTACGGTCAAACTGGTAAAAATCTTGAACTAAGATTAAAACAACATAAATATAGCATTAGAACTGGACAAGATTCCAATGCTCTATTTATTCATGTAAGAGATTTTAACCATCCAATTGATTTTCAAAAAGTTGAGAAAGTAGTATCAAGGAAGTCCATGGTCGACAGGAAAATATAATTGAATCTTGTTTCAAAAAACAGTTTTGACAATAATATGAATATTTCCTTTGGTTTATATAAATTAGATCCATTTATAATTAATAGAATTTGGGAAGAATTTAACCCTTTCAGGGTCCGTCCCGTAGATCTACGGCTTTACGTTCAGGGTCCAAACCGTAGATCTACGCCATGAGCTCAGCTCACTCTGATAAACTGTGAGTGGTACATTTGGGCCTAGATATGAGAGAATACATCTATGTGGTATGTGTGCACCACATAAAACAGATCCTGCAGCACACTGTGTATAATGAGAGAAAAAAAATGAAATCATGATTTTTCGATTAAAACAGCAACTTTGCAGTGTTTTTTCGTATGTTTTTTATAGTTGTATTTGCGATTTCTTGGTCTCATTTGATAGAATGGAAGACATATTACAGAAATAGAGATGATTTTGATTGGTTTTAGCACTGGAAATGGCTTGAAACTGAGCTCAAAGTAGCAGAAATGTTAAATTTTTGCCGATATTCAAGAGTAAACAAACGATCTCAAACGTCTAATACACATCAGCTGGTGGGTCTAATATACATTCACAAATATGGTGATGATATTTATACAATTATTACAGTATTGCATAACAGTAAATCTTCTATTTTTGGTGTGAATAAAAATTCATTATGTGAATAAAAAATCAAAATGGAATTTATTTGTAAAGCCTCAAAACATAACTAATGAACAGAGGAAATGTTAGTTTAGTGCCAGGAATGCCTACATTGTTCATTCTGGACCCTATTTTGAAATTGGAATATTTTGAACTTTGTGTTAAATTGGCCAAATTAACAATTTCCGATCACTTTATTTTGTAGTTGAAACAGTTGACTTGGCGATTTCTTGTGCTCAATCAATAGAATAGAAGTAATACTAGTGAAATAGCTAAGAATTTGGTTGACTGGAATAATGTAATTGGCCTAAAATGGAGTCAAAGTCGCAAAATCGCCGATTCGTAAATATCGCTGACACATAAAAATTCGCGAGAGCATAATTTCGTCAATTTTCAACCAAATTTCGTACTTTTTGTTTTTTACCTTCCAAAAAGATTCTTACGATTTCATAAGAAAAAATAACAAATTTTTTTTGAAAATTCTTGGACACGGGGCGTACTCCAGTTTTGGGCCTTTGGACCCTGAAAGGGTTAATAATACAGGACAAATAATAGTTTTTAAATTTTCTTGGTAGAAAGTTTGTGGGGGTTTTGAAAAGGACCTCTCCGTTGAGTCGGCGCGCATCAGGTGTTTAACCTTTTGGGGGGATCTGATAGTGAGGTGTTGGCCAGACCCCTTATATAGCTTCCTTGGATGCTTTACTTTTAAGTTCCCTTTATAATTATAATCACGAAAGCGCTTGGGAAATTTTTTTTATTTTTCAAGTGGTTTTTTTGCATATAATAAATATATATATATATAATATATTATATATATAAAATTTTTATATAATTATTTATATATATTATATATATATATTATATGTTAATTTTGATATGTATATTATATATGTATAAATATGTGATAATATGTATGCAAAAAACCACTCTGAAAGAATAGAGAAATTCCAAGCGATTGTGACTACTACATTTTCCTTTAAATGTGAGTAGTCACGAAATCGCCCGGGAATTTCTCATTTTTTCAGAGTGGTTGTTTTTATATTTTGAAATCACCTGTTTACTGTGATCTTATTGATATTAATTTTTATATATTTTATAATATGTGTAATATATTAATATATATTGTTAATAGTATAATATACATATGTATATGAAAATATATTGTGATATAATGTGTATAATATGTATATATTTAAAGTGTATTATTTATATATATGTATATTATATATATATATATATATATATATATATATAATATGTAATTTTATGATATTTTAAAAAATGTATATATATATTTATATTATAATATATAAATATAAAATATATAATATATATATATTTATTTAAAATATATATAATTTTATATATATATATATATATATATAATTGTGTGTGTGTGTGTAGTATGTATGTAAGAGAAGCTATGAAAATTGCCATAGTTACCTATAGGTTTGATAGCAATTAAAATTAAGATTTATAAATTAGTTAAAATAATATTAAATTTGTAGTTTGATTAATACAAAATTATGTTTTCCAGGCATTGCATATGGAAGTGGCCCACACGTACTAGCATATACAGAGAGTGGGGAGTTGTATTCTTGGGGACATAATGGTTATTGTCAGCTTGGAAATGGATCTACTAATCAAGGTCTTACACCATACTTGGTTACCACTCACTTACACAATAAACGTGTTGCACGAATTGCTGCTGGCTCCCATCATTCTTTGGCATTAACAGAAGAAGGCGAGGTAACTCCATGGGAAACAATTTCTTCTGAGTTGTCATATTATCTTGCATTATTATAATGAAACATTATGCTGCATACTGGACTGGGATTTCAATAAGAATGAATAATACAATTCATTATTGTGATTTTACTGCATATTGCTGTTTATAGTGGCAACTTTGCTCTAATGAATACTTTTTTATTTAACACTGGCCATGTCCTGCCAAAATGAGGTGACTCTTGAAAGGAAACTAATTCACTATTATTCGTTCAGTAGCTGTGTTATGGGAAGTGTCCATTCACTTCTCGTAAGACAGCTATTGAATGAATGATGGTAAATATCTTTTTTTTTTCTTTTTGTTGCCCCACTTTGGTGTGAAGCAGCAGATGTGTTAAAAAAATAATGTATTCATTGGAACAAAGTTGTCACTACATAATATACAAGAAAATCACAGACAATTTAATTATTGTACTGAAAAATTAAGTACATAAAATGTAACACACAACATTTAAAAAAAATTTTTAATAAAATTATTTTATAAATAGTTACTAAAGTTTTATATTGACTCTCTAATTTTTTCTTACAGGTACAGTATTTAGATATTGTGATTCAGTGTTTTTTATAATTATTAACAAAAATAATGGTACACATTTATGTTACTGTATATAAATAATTATTGATTACAGATAATTGCCATAAACTAACTGTATATATTTTACTTATGTCTGTTTGCAGTAATGACATTCACAGAATATGAAGAGAGGAATTGGTTTGGATTCAGCTTCTGTTGCCTTGTGGGTATTAAAGATTGACTTTAATTCTGCACATTTATAATTAAACAGGTACTAGCATGGGGACAGAACAACTGTGGACAAGTTGGCTCTGGAACGACGACAAACCAGCCCACACCACGTAAAGTAATTGCTAGTATAGGAGGAAGACGGGTAGTTGATATAGCCTGTGGTCAGACTTCTTCAATGGCTGTCATGGATAATGGAGAGGTAGGGCAACATGTATTTCTTGAATAAACAGTCATATAATTTTTTATCTTGAAACATTAGTTCTATTTAAATAGTTCTGTTTGTTGAGATTCCTTAAATACTGGTCACTAGATACTGGGTATTGTTCCATATTCTTCTATACTGGCCTAGTACACTTTATCTTTCTGTCATAGATATTCTTAGTGTCCCTTCTGAATTTTCACTTACACAAGTTTTCTGACATTTGTAATTTGTCCATTGTGGAAGATATTGGGATAGCCTTTTCAATCTTTTCACCTTCACAACCCCCAAAATTATAAGTCCTGTCAGTGTAGCTGTTTCTCAAAAAATTATCTTCTATAATGATAGAGAATCTTTATGTTACGGTAATGACACCCAAAATGCAAAAGATGACATAAAACTCATGGAATCACAGAGGCACGAAGTTGGAGGTCAGGGAGTATTTTATGCTACTGCAGTTTTGCTCATTTTGAAACCTGTTTTAGCCAAGTCCAATACTCAAACTACCCACAGCATGGTTGTTTCTATTGAGTGCAAGAAAGTGCACATTGAAGTATCAGCACTACTCTATAAAGAACTCAGAAATCGACAGTTATTCCAATTTTACACAAAATTCAGCCAATTCCAATTTAAAAACGAGCCCAGATCAAAGATTGTAGACTTTCCAGTCACTAAACAACCTTTCCTTTGCTCATTAATCACTCCAGGCCTCCCCTATATCATACTTGCCCTCCATTTTGAATCCATCGTCACAAAAAAATCAAAGTTTTACCTTGGTCATGGTTTAGGTCATCCCAATAATTGAAGCAGACCTAGTAAAAACCCATAAAACAGATGAAGGGGGAGAGGGTAAGCTTCTACTTTTCCTCAGGAACATCACAAAAATCAAATATTTGTGCCACTTTGTCTAAAATTGACTAAAATCATCTGTTTCACTAGTATGTCTTCCTGTTTATCAAATGGCACCAAGAAATGGGGAGAAAAACCATGAAAACCATCCTAGAAAATGATACTTTAACCCAAAGGTCTATTTACCTGCTTGGGTCAAGGTCTTTTTTTTTTTTTTAATACAGTGGAACCTCTGGTCATGACCATAATTCGTTCCAAAACTGGTCGCGACCCGATTTGGTAGTGACCCAAACCTAATTTCCCCATTGGATTGTATATAAATATGATTATTCCATTCCAGACCCCCATGAACTGTATGTAAATATTGTTTTTTAAGCACAAAAATAGGGTACTGGCACTTCCAAGATAATTGATGAAAACGAGCACGCACTGAAATAAACAATAGAGAAAATAAGTCACTCTGTCTGACTTTTTTGGGTTATCCAAGGTTCTCTACACATATGCTGGTATGTATAAGAACATAAGAAAGGAGGAACACTGCAGGAGGCCTGTTGGCCCATACTAGGCAGGTCCTTTACAATTCATCCCACTAACAAAACATTTGCCCAACCCAATTTTCAATGCCACCCAAGAAATAAGCTCTGATGTGAAAGTCCCACTCAAATCCAACCCCTCCCACTCATGTACTTATCCAACCTAAATTTGAAACTACCCAAAGTCCCAGCCTCAATAACCCAACTAGGTAGACTGTTCCACTCATCTACTACCCTATTTCCAAACCAATACTTTCCTATGTCCTTTCTAAATCTAAACTTATCTAATTTAAATCCATTACTGCGGGTTCTCTCTTGGAGAGACATCCTCAAGACCTTATTAATATCCCCTTTATTAATACCTATCTTCCACTTATACACTTCGATCAGGTCTCCCCTCATTCTTCATCTAACAAGTGAATGTAACTTAAGAGTCTTAATAATCTATGTAACTGTATTTGTGTATACCTGAATAAACTTACTTAGTTTTATGGTGCATTACTAGTATATATCACAGCACTGTACTACACAACGTTTTCTCTAATATAAGTACCCAGGAAGGGATAAAGAGGATGGTACTTTATCCCTTATCCTGAAGTTCACAACTAATGAACACAGGTCTGACCAAGACCAACTACAAAGCAAGGGTCTTTGTTAGGTGTACACAAACAACAGGAAGTGGGGAAAATTGGCACGTGCCAAAAAAATGGCATGAAATGTGAAAATTGGTGCGGCTGTGTTTGTTCGGCACTCGATTATGTGTTAGTGACCAGATGCAAAAATTTGGTGAATTTTTTGGTCATGAACCAATTTGTTCATGTTCAGAAGCATTCCTGACCAGAGGTTCCACTATACTATGCACACCCACCACACAAACCTATTCACTCATATCAAGGCCAAAATGTACTGCTCACAGCATATTTAAGATGCTATAATTAAGACATATATATACAGTATATATATACATAAGTGCTACTGGCCTTAATAATGTATATCTACATAGACATTGAAAGGGTTAAAGGACATCAGTTGATCATTTTCCTGAGGGGACGAGTCCTTGACTTATTTGCTAAATTCAAGATTAATGGTCTTTTTGACTAGGGTTGTGCCAAAGTATCAGTGGATATGGGCTAATTTGGATGGTATTGGTTGATATCTTTGTTTTTATTGTTGAGAGAACTTTGTAAATATTGTAACTATTACTGCTATTCATCTTGACTACAAAAACACACATCCCTACACATACTTTCCCAAAACTGGCTCCAGTTTCAATTAAGAAATGTATTTCTTGACAGCAATTAGATGAAAAATGTCCTCATTGGGAATTATTACACTCCAAGCTATTTTTGTGGATATTACATCAATCGCAGCTACTGCTTCTCCATCCCAAAATTTTTGTCTTGCACCTCACCCTGTGGTTGGGAGGATACTTATTGTTTTATTACATCATGGGATAAGGTTTCTTTGGTTTAAGTGTCTTTACCACCAGGGAATATATATTTATAAAATTCAATGTTTCCTGATGCTCATTCCATACCACATCATAATTTATTTTAATCTACATATCCTGGTAATAAGTAATACATATTTTATGAAAACGAGGATAAATATACATACAAGGTATGATATAGCACGTAATGAAAGTAGTTTGTTAGATTATGTATTGGTGGATAAAAGGTTGATGGGTAGGCTCCAGGATGTACACGTTTATAGAGGGGCAAATGATATATCGGATCATTATCTAGTTGTAGCTAGTTAGAGTAAGAGGTAGATGGGATAAGAGGAAAATGGCAACAACAAGTAAGAGGGAAGTGAAAGTGTATAAGGGAGGAGGAAGTTCAGGGTCCCACATCAGAGACTATTGAGGAAAATTAAAGCACATGGAATAGGAGGAGAAATTTTTTCCTGGATAGAGGCATGGTTGACAAATAGGCAGCAGAGAGTTTGCATAAATGGGGAGAAATCAGAGTGGGGAAGTGTCACGAGCGGTGTTCCACAGGGGTCAGTGTTGGGCCCCCTGCTGTTCACAATCTACATAAACGACATAGATGAGGACATAAAGAGCGACATCGGCAAGTTTGCCGATGACACCAAAATAGGCCGTCGAATTCATTCTGACGAGGACATTCGAGCACTCCAGGAAGATTTGAATAGACTGATGCAGTGGTCGGAGAAGTGGCAGATGCAGTTTAATATAGACAAATGCAAAGTTCTAAATGTTTGGACGGGACAATAACCATGCCACATATAAACTAAATAATGTAGATCTTAATATTACGGATTGCGAAAAAGATTTAGGAGTTCTGGTTAGCAGTAATCTGAAACCAAGACAACAGTGCATAAGTGTTCGCAATAAAGCTAATAGAATCCTTGGCTTCATATCAAGAAGCATAAATAATAGGAGTCCTCAGGTTGTTCTTCAACTCTATACATCCTTGGTTAGGCCTCATTTAGATTATGCTGCACAGTTTTGGTCACCTTATTACAGAATGGATATAAATTCTCTGGAAAATGTACAAAGGAGGATGACAAAGTTGATCCCATGTATCAGAAACCTTCCCTATGAGGATAGACTAAGGGCCCTGAATCTGCACTCTCTAGAAAGACGTAGAATTAGCGGGGATATGATTGAGGTGTATAAATGGAAGACAGGAATAAATAAAGGGGATGTAAATAGTGTGCTGAAAATATCTAGCCTAGACAGGACTCGCAGCAATGTTTTTAAGTTGGAAAAATTCAGATTCAGGAAGGATATAGGAAAGTACTGGTTTGGTAATAGAGTTGTGGATGAGTGGAACAAACTCCCAAGTACCGTTATAGAGGCCAGAACGTTGTGTAGCTTTAAAAATAGGTTGGATAAATACATGAGTGGATGTGGGTGGGTGTGAGTTAGACCTGATAGCTTGTGCTACCAGGTCGGTTGCCGTGTTCCTCCCTTAAGTCAATGTGACCTGACCTGACTAGGTTGGGTGCATTGGCTTAAGCCGGTAGGAGACTTGGACCTGCCTCGCATGGGCCAGTAGGCCTTCTGCAGTGTTCCTTCGTTCTTATGTTCTTATGTTCTTATAAGCAGCTATTGGCAGAAAGGTGGGCTAGTGCAAAGATGAGTAGTGGGGGGGTTGAAGAGGGTTGGAATAGTTTTAAAAATGCAGTATTAGAATGTGGGGCAGAAGTTTGTGGTTATAGGAGGGTGGGGGCAGGAGGAAAGAGGAGTGATTGGTGGAATGATGAAGTAAAGGGTGTTATAAAAGAGAAAAAGGTAGCCTATGAGAGGTATTTACAAAGCAGAAGTGTTATAAGAAGAGCAGAGTATATGGAGAGTAAAAGAAAGGTGAATTGAGTGGTGAGAGAGTGCAAAAGGAGAGCAGATGATAGAGTGGGAGAGGCACTGTCAAGAAATTTTAATGAAAATAAGAAAAAAATTTGGAGTGAGTTAAACAAGTTAAGAAAGCCTAGGGAACGAATGGATTTGTCAGTTAAAAACAGAGTAGGGGAGTTAGTAGATGGGGAGATGGAGGTATTGGGTAGATGATGAGAATATTTTGAGGAACTTTTAAATGTCGACAAAGAAAGGGAGGCGGTAATTTCATGCACTGGCCAGGGAGGTATATCATCTTTTAGGAGTGAAGAAGAGCAGGATGTGAGTGTGGGGGAGGTGCGTGAAGCATTACGTAGAATGAAAGGGGGTAAAGCAGCTGGAACTGACAGGATCATGACGGAAATGTTAAAAGCAGGGGGGGACATAGTGTTGGAGTGGTTGGTATTTTTGTTTAATAAATGCATAAAAGAGGGGAAGGTACCTAGGGATTGGCGGAGAGCGTGTATAGTCCCTTTACATAAAGGGAAAGGGAATAAAAGAGATTGTAAAAATTATAGAGGAATAAGTTTACTGAGTGTACCAGGAAAAGTGTACGGTAGGGTTATTATTGAAAGAATTAGAGGTAAGACAGAATGTAGAACTGCGGATGAGCAAGGAGGTTTTAGAGTGGGTAAGGGATGTGTAGATCAAGTGTTTACATTGAAGCATATATGTGAACAGTATTTAGATAAAAGTAGGAAAGTTTTTATTGCATTTATGGATTTAGAAAAAGCATATGATAGAGTGGATAGGAGAGCAATGTGGCAGATGTTGCAAGTATATGGAATAGGTG